GAAAATCCATTTTTTTGAGAGAAAATAATCTGTGACAAAATGACTTTTGACATCTTTGTGATGATTTTTACTTAGGATAGAACCTTTTTACCATAGCAAACCTGAATTGACTTTATTTAAGTTCAGTGGGGCTATAGGAAGCCTCAAACAGCTGTGATAGAAATTACAGCTACATCTAGCCAGCTCAACTGTAAACTGATGGGATTGCACTGCCAGTCTAGTAGTGCACTTAAATTGATAAAGTCTAGGTACCATACTGAAGTGCTCATCTGAACAATTGCCATGAAAGTATTTATAAAAAAGGCAACCTTACAGCAGTGGAAAAGTGGCTAAAGCCGGGCCACCAGATCAGGACCAATAATATTGCTGATTCTTCTTTGGATCTTATCAAGGAGTTCAAGGTAAATAGCAAGGGCACTGGATCATATATGGCAGCAATATTCTAAGCAACAACAAATGGTAGACTTATAGATATATCCTTTTTTTTTCTCCAGATATCCAATGTAACCTAAATAATAATTATTTAGATTATTAATCACTATTAACTATTTGAAAAATTTTATTTTTATTATGTAAGCATTACAAATAGTAATGTTTGCATCACAATAAATCACAAACCTATCTACCAAGAGAAAGTCATAAAAATCTGCCGACTCATCACCAATCAATGTTATTTCACTTTTAACAATACTTTTTATAAACAAAAATTTGGATTACCTATGGGTTCACCACTGAGTGGGGTTTTAGCATGTATTCGTAGAATTTTTTTTTAATCTGTTCCTTTTTTAGAGTATTTTACCTAAATAGCTTTCCAACACATTGATGATGCTCTATTAATATATCCCCACAAAACCACATTACCTGACTTTAGATAACCTAAACAAAATCAAACATATGATAGAATTCATAAAACAGAAACAAATAACACTTTCTTTCCCATTTAACTAAAACAAAGTGTACATTGCAAATCAACTTATAAAAATGATCTTATAAATTTTTATTCTCACCATAACAAAATAAAACCCGAAATAATTATCAAATTTTATTTAAGAGCATGTAGAATTTCTTGCCCTCAGTATTTGCATGAAGAGGAAAAATACATTGTAAATACTTTTAAGCTCCTCCGACATCCTAATTATTTCATATACAATGCAAAACAAAAAGGTTTGTAAAATATTTCAAAAAAGAAGAGTGGACCATTGTGACAGGCCCAATCAACCAAAATATGTTATTCTTCACAATTAGTAAAGAATTTACCTAAACTTATCTATTGTTCAGACAATTGTCCTTATCTTTACTGTCATAGTCACAATGTTTTGGCCATTGTATGCTCAGTTGGAATTTCAAACCAAACCCTTTTTGTCAACTGGGGGTAGATTGTTCTAATCACTTTTGAAGGTCATTCTGATGGTATATGGACCACAGATCTTTTGTATTTTTTCCAATAATTCCTTCACAAGAGGATAACACACAGAAAAAAAAACTCAATCTGCCTACCTGAGGCAGATTGAGTTTTTTTTTCTGTGTGTTATCCTCTTGTACCCTTCTATACAGATTTGTTGGAGCTGCTGTCATGTACTCAGGGTAGTTGTTATGTTGTAGGTTACTACCATTGGACAAAACAATATCTCCCAGAGGCTTGAGACCTTATTCAACAAAATTACTGATGAAGACCAACAGAGAATCTAGCATGATCTGGATAAATCCTTCAGACATCAATTTGAAGCAAGTCAAGACCTGCTAAATACAGAAATTGAACATCTAAGATCGGAAGGTGGCACACATGGTACATCTCCCCCAAAAAGGTGAATGCAGTAATCAACATCAATCAAAACAAGCTGAGTACCTCTGAGGAGTCATTATTGAACAAGGGTCTCAACTTCACAACAACCATCAGACAGATACCATACTTGGACATCATTGCCTGAATTGAGTAAATAACCTTGAATATTCCTCAGGTTCTGATGGATGAACTAAGATGGAAAGTGAGACGGGTACTGGAAAATGTCAAGCCACCCAAATCAAACACCACAAAACTGAAGAGGCTGGCAATCAAAACCCTACAACATCATTATACTATCAACTGATAGTCAATGCAATTAGTGATGGAAAAAGCAAAATATACAGAAAAACTAGATCTCATTTTGAAATGGTAACAAAGTAAAGAAATACCCAACAATGAAATCAGAAAGAAAACTGTCACAGATCCTAATCAAGAACAGGGAACACTTCCTACCTAAAACTTACAGGCCGTTGTCACAATGTTATAGCAAGCTACCTCACATATATGGTCTCCCCAAAATTCATAAAGACAGTATTCTGCTCAGGCTGATTGTTAGCTGCCAAGACTCTTTGTGTGAGCCTCTGAGTCTCTTCCTTGTGGATATGACCCATTAATAGGAAAGTCACCATCATATGTCTGAAATTCTTGCCACTTTGTGGAAATAATCAAAGATGCCTCCATCCAATTCAAAATAAATTAGAATTTGAAATAAAAGATTATAAACACACTGGATATTTTGCAAAACAACAGACTAAATACATTAGTTGCATTAGTCTGACCATAATTTAGATTTAAAAAATGCTACTTTAATTAAAAGAGAAATTAATTTATTAAGATAAAAGTGTGTATAAAGTACTTTAATCACTGAATCATCCACAGTGAATTTGCATCCAGATTCTTTGTTGGCTGATCTATTATCACAATGTGCTATAGTTAATAACACAAGTGATAAAAATATAAAGAAAAAGAAATTAAATGCAATTGTCTAGACAATATGCCTAAATACATAAAAAAAAAAAAAAAAAAGTTTAAAATTTCAGCATTCCTTCTTCATGCGCATATGCAGTTACATCAATGTAAATATCACTTTAGCCTGATGAAGTCCTAAAGGATGAAATGCACCATACAAAAATATTTTCCACTCTGTCATTAATTTTCCTAACATGGTTCTGATATGTAAAAATTTATATTTTCTATCAATAAACTCTTGGAGGTATAATACACAAATTAATAGAAGAATTGTAACTGGCATTTGTTGTATTTTGTTCTATCCCCCTAAATACATATGATTTCATTAATAAAAACGTTAATCTGAAAAAAGTCCTTTTAAAGGATGAAATGCATAGGATTTTCTTTTTCCATTTTATCATTCAATTAAATATGTTTGCAAAATTAAGTCAAGGCATATCTATATATCTTCTTCAGCAAATAGACAATTATTTTACTCAGATTTTATAAACAATTAACAATTACTATAATTAACTATAAAAATGCAAGAGAAAAATATATAATCACATTACAAAGCTAGAATTGTCAGTTTTCAAATGAATATTGCTAGTCACTCTGAAGGTGCAATGAATTAGCATTGAAATTGGATTTTTAATTTCATATCTGAATTGTGTTTATCATATAAAAGGAAACTATATAGCATCTCAATCTTGTTAACCTAGGCCATAAGAAATGTTCATTGGATGTGATGGATATTTGAAAACAAATTCATATTGCAAAACAATTTATTTAAATCAATTGAAAAACAGTGGTTTATGTTTATCACATGTATAATTAGCATTTATTTATATGCTGTAAATTTGAAACAAGGTCTTGTTTAAGTGTCTGTGTGGGCATAGGCAAAAATTACCCAAACACATTGGCTAAAGGAGATAGAAATATTTTTTAAAATCACAGTTGATGTTATGTCAGTGTAATTAGAAGAAAGCTCTTTTCTCAGTCAATCAGCATTGAACAGATATTGCAATAGATAGTGGGAGACAGTTCATTGCATTTTTGGAGCATGGTCATCTTTTTAGATAAGTCTTCATTTATTCAATTTTTGAACAGTGCATTAGAATGGGTCTGGAGGTAACCTCATCAAGAATTTTGCTTGAATTGCCTGCATCATGTGTTTGATTTGTGTTTGTTATGTTGGAAACAATTTGGAATAGAGTTTATTTAAAGCTCTACTCTCTAAGCAATCTGCAGGAAAAGCTTCTCCCATTACTTACTGCTGATTATTCTGATAAAAATAGCCTATCCCTTCACACTTTCATAGAGGAATGAGATCCATGACATTTAACACAAAAAGAAATACAAAATATCTATAAATAAAACTAAAAGACCAGAAACAAAATCTTATATAGATTTATATTGTCACCATCAACATATTGTGTGTTGTGTGTGTATTGTATATACATTTTTATATTGCTTAATTACCAATATAAGATAATTGATATTAGGTTTATACAATTTGTAAATAGTGGGTAATATATATGTGATTATATAATTACTTTGCAAATGCTATATAAAATGGCTTGTGGTTAGATAGCTTGCAGGTAGTATAAAAGATTAGTTACCTTTGCTTGGCTACCTCTTCACTTCCTAAATACATATCATAGAAAATATTTCCCTTCTCTGTCTTTTTTCTCAGGCTATATGTACAAAAGTTTTTCTTTTTCTCTTGCCATTTTTCTCAGGCTATACATACAAAACAAAAAGAGAAAAAATGTTTAAATAATAGTTAATATTTTTATTGAAAGAATTTGACACTTGATAAATCTAGTTGTTATTTTTTCATTATGGTAAAGTTAAAATTCATTTTTGGCCTCTTTTGCAGAAAGTTTGATTTATGATGAAAATTTAAATTTAAAAATATTCAAATTTTACAAAGAAAATACACAGCTACTAATTTTCATAATTCCATCTGCATCTGAAAGAAAAAATGTTTTTCCCATTTGGAAAATTTTGAGTGTAAATAAAGTCATTATTAATCATTCATTTTTTATGAATATTTCTGAGAGGTTGAGTGGTTGTGATGAAAAGCAATTAAAATGAGGGTAAAAGAAACACTAATAAAAACATTCCCTACTTTATCAATAGATTTAATATTGCAACTTCAAAAAATGCATTACTTTTTATTTATACAGATTTTTATAGAGATATTTAATGACTTAATCATTTAATGACTTAAGCATAAAATTGGAAAGTTTTCCTTAAAATTTCATCAGAGTTCTGTTTTTATTTGTTCTTTACAGTAACTCCTTTTTCCTCCATAGCACAATGTTTTATTTAATTTTCCTTCTTTAAAGATTTTGTAAAGTTCAACATCTTCAGTGTCTCCTATCAACTTCCAGCAAAAATCCATCATTCTGCAATATAACCAGATTTATATTTCAATTAAAGTTGTGAAAATGAAACCCAAATATGTATATATTCTATCTTTGAGTAACAATGAAACTTAATGAAATTTTAAAATTGTAAGTCAGCATTGATTCATTTTGAATATTTCACAAAACCAAATTCAGTAAATAGTGAATTATTAACTCTTAAAGTTAATATACCTTCCAAAGATTTGTCAAGAAACAGCTATACATAAATTGAAAAAAAAAAGATTTTAACTCTAGATTATTTTTAGGATGATTGTGTAGCATGTGGGTGAAAATAGTATGCTTTGAACTTTAAAGATCAGTCCTTCAAGTAATGTTTAATATTTTGAACATTTTATTAAACTGAACAAAATATAACACAAGAGATTAATTTCTTTCCAATTTAAAATTATAGTTATATCTGTTAAAGGCAATCTCAACAAAACCACCTTTTGCTAAAAAGAAACAAACTATTTTTAAATAACTTAATATACTGATATCATTTAATATAATTAATATATAGTAACTTATTTATCATAAAGAAATGACTGCAATTGCTGGTCTATAATTAGGAATTGGAATAAATTATGAAAAAGATTTCAACTGGGACCAGGAAATGCTTGTTAATTTTAATGCCTCTAAAATGAAACTGCTACTGCTCTTTAATCATCTTAAAGAACCTTTTTTTGCCTTCCATTAATATGGCTGATGCTAACCTCCAGGAGAGCAACTCAGTGCATCTTGGTCTCCCGTTTTCCACTGAAATGAAGTGGAACAATTATATTGAATCAATTGCTAGGTCTTCTGTTAGGAAAGTTGGCTCACTGTTCTGCTAGAAATTATTTCTCACAAAAATCTATCTTGCACCTTTATAAGGTGAAAATTAATCTGTGCATTGAATATTTCTGCCACATCTGCTATGTATCTTGAGATTCTTGACAGAATCCAAAGAAAAATCTGCAATTTTATCAGTCACTTTACTTCTGTGGCTTCCCTGTGCTTTTTCTTAAATGTTTTAATGGCAATTATTCTGATGAGCTTTCCTTTTTGGTGCTTTGACTTCAAATTTAAGTACAATACTAGAGTGGCAACTAGTTCACATCATTTTACTGTTGAAATTGCTTGTTGTAATCATAAGTTCTATGCTAACAGTTTATTCTCATACTCTTTTCATTTGTGGAATTCCCTTCTTGCTTTCCTTTCAACTACAATATTAAAAAAATTAAATGCAACATCAATTGTCATTTGTCTCCTTGAACCCTCATTCTTTTATTGTTCTCTCTCACCTCTATAATATCAAGTTTCTTTCACTCAGTAACTCCTTGCAACTTTGGATGAAATGATTTATTTTAAAAAAAATAAAGGTTATGATGAATGTTTATCAGGATTGTCAAGTTCTCTGAAAAAGCTAAGTAGTAGAAAGTATCCACATGCATTGATTGTGTCTTGGAATATTTTTTAAGGTTGATGTAATTCATCTCTAAATGAAGCTGGATTATTTTGTTTTGGTATTTTGCAAGCATATAGCTATCAAAATAAGGAGTAAAAAATATTGAGCTTGAATGGAAATTGACGAATGAATCAATGCTTTAATGTGGTAAGCTTTCATCCCATCTTAGATATTACCTGAATGGCCAGTGCTTTCCACTCATATGCATGCCAATAACTGAGTCAGCGTCTAGTCCAGGCCCTGACAATTTTTTTTTCCCATCAACTTCTTTTAGTCCATACCTGATATATAAGAAAATCACAATTTGTTTACAGATTTTGTGATGCTTTTTTTTTCGTTTTTACTATGAATTTAAAAAAAAAAAATCTTCAAAGAGTAAATTACTTTGCTTTGTTCAAATTTTATGAAAGCAGTTTACATTATCACATTTTTGTATCTGAATCGAAATAAATCACTTAAGAGTCAAATACAAGTAAATTCTTTTATTGCTCATCCGTTTTATGAACACCTGGACACTAGTTCTAAGGGAAACAACTATAAGCAACTGATCTTTGCTTTAAAAATTCGAAATTACTCAAAAATTAAAACCCCTTCCTTGTTAAATAACCAGGTCACTAATTAATGTATACCAGTCAATATCACCATGAATACAGACAGTACGAAGGTAAGACAGTCTGATTTTAGTTTATAGAAAGAAGTACGCCAGTCTGTTGTTTATGTTCGCCACATTGGCATGGCATACCGTCGCCATGGATGATATTGATTGGCTTTTTATTTTCCATTATTCACTATGAACATGAACATTCGAAATATTTCATATTAAATTTATAAAATACTCGAATGCTTATCTTTTTTCTTTTTAAAGTTTTTTTCCCTTTTTTGTTATTGTTGCCATTTCGTACAATTAATCAGTAAGAGTATTTACGAATAATTTAATTTTTTTTAAAGTAAACATTGTTCAAATTTAACATTAAATACTTGCTTCCCTTTGAACTGGTGTACTGACATTCATAAAAAAAAAGTATGTCCGAGAAAACGAGGTGAATAAAGAAAATAGGTACCGCCACGGACTTCCGAAAAATGCATTTTAAATAATTTAAATGTCTTCTTAAGTTGCTATTTGAAAGATAATAGACTAACGCTGATTTGAATTTTAAAAAAAAATCCGTATATAAAGTTTTTAGATATTTTTAAAACATTGGCATGTTTTTACTCGTTTTTACTCATCGGACAGCCATTTATAGACGAAAAATGTAAACAGCAAATTAAAAATTCTCTTTAAAATAAAAAATGTGTTTTGAATCATTTAGTAGATTTAAGGATTAATTCACCTGATATATATTGTAAACTAAAGTAATGTTTACTTTTTACTTTAAAACTTAATGAAAATAACGTTTATTTACGCACGGTAGGTAGCCTGTGGGGTTATAGGTAAGAAAATAATCACACCCCAGACTTTTACGAGAAAAATTAAAAATTAAAATATCAGGCAGTGCAATAATCAAGGCATTGGTATCTGTTTAAAAATAAATTATCTTTAAGCCTACCAATAACTTTTTTTTTTATTTTATACGATTTTATAAAACTTAGTAGAATGAATAATTTTATTTATATACTTGAAATTGCAAAAAGACATAAAGTATCCTTCAAAATTGGAAAAAAGTACAGATTTAGAAATGGGGAAATACGGGAGTTGATAAATAAAGTTCCCTTTGGCTGCTAATTGTGTAGGTACAAACATGTTTGGACATATATTTAGTAAAAAAATATATACAGTTATACTCAAACGTGTCAGTCACTTATGTGCCATGCGTGTTACACCCTTAAAGGCGATCATGTATCGAAAGATACATGATTGATGAGGCAGGTTGCCATTTCTTTCTGCGGTAGACATCCACGGCTATAGAATCCGGTCTGTCCTGCTATTTATTCATAGCTGGGGAAAAGAAGAGGATTCATACCTTTTCTAAGGGTATTAGCATGTAAGTGAATGTAATGGATCCGACTGGAATTCGAACTTGGCTCTCCGATTACTTAATCTGTGCCTCCTGCTTAGTTTTTTGTTTCTATTGTTTCGTTCCTCGTGAGTATCAGATCCAAGATACAAATAAAGCAGCGATTATCATTAGTGAGAGATTTTTATCACTACTAAATCCTGGCTGCTAATCTGTGTATCGTGTATCTTCTGGACGTTGGTGATCATGGCTCTCTACAATTTCCTGTCTTTTGTAGCTCTTAATGAATTTTGTCTTTTGGTTATCTTGCCTAAACCTAGGAAGGTTATGTGCTGTTTTATTGTCCCTCTTGCCTTCAATCTGTCATGTGAGTATCAAATTTTCCAAGCCTTCTTTTCTCATTATGTGTCCTAGAAATTTCAATTGCTTCTTCCTTATGTTATGTGTAAATGTCCTTTTTGTTTCCATTTTCTCAAAAAAACTCCATTGCTCAAATGCGCTAAAACAACTCAAATAAGGAGATTTTTTTTAAAAAGCACAACAGAAAGCCGTGTTGTAGTCAATAAACGACAAGAAGCCTAGAATCTACAATTATTTTGCCCGCACTGTCTCGCATCAACTTTGTACAAGCAGATTTCTGGTTGTTTCTTATATTGAAAGAGTTAAGGTTTTTATTCGATGCCGAAATTGAAATTGTTGTGAACCATTGGATCAGAAGTAAAACAAACTTTTTTCATAGAATTAATAAGTGGGTGTGGAAGAATGTATTGCATTAAATGGTTTACTGTTGAAAAATAAAGTTGTAGCTTTGGAAATAAATTTATTTCATTTCACTTTCATTATTCGATCTGGTGTTAAACAAGTTTGTAGTCCTTATTTATCAATCAACAATTGTATATGGATATGAAAAAAAGAAATTACTTACTCATGCCATAACTCTTCATTTCTGCAAAGGTTTTCAACTGCTTCAACAATACTGGATTCAGTTAATTTTCTTTTTGTATGCCTTTCGTCAATGCGCTGAAAAACTTTCTCGAGCTGAAGATAAGACATTCAAATTTAGTAAGTTGCAATTATTTTGCTTAGTTGAAAGAACGGAAAGTGACTGAAAAGATTTTGAAATTAGCATTTGATTAACATCTAATTGAAAAAACCGAGTGATGATGATGATGATGATGATGATGATGATGATAACTCGGGGAAAATGATGAAAGTCAAAGTGTCCTATAAGAAAGATCAAACTAAACTGAAATAAGCGTCAATTTTGAGATGAAATGAAAGATTAGAGAAAATGCAAAACAGGCTAGGAAGGAATACGTGTAAAATATATATATATATATATATATATATATATATTATAAATTAATTGATTTAAAATATGGTTATTTTTCGCTACACAGTTCCAACCATGTTTCAAAAATAGAAGCTAAAAACCCTAATTTTATTTTTGCAAATAAATTAAAAGCATTAGTTCTATTTCATCTTCAAGCGAATTTTGAGTAACTTTTAAAATTTACCGGGTTTTAAATACACAGCTAAAATCACGTTTCCATGGTTACAGAATATTCTACTCAAATTGAACACGGGTGTCTAGATTTTCCTTATGACAGTATCATTGTATCAGTTATTAGCTACATTTTGGTAAGGGGTGAGGATGTATTTTACACTGAAACCTGACGTCGGTTGAATGGATGTCGTCTGAATTTAAAAAAAAAAAAAAAAAAAAAAAAAAATTGTTAACGGTAAAAATTTTCAACGTCATCTTTTTTTAAAATTAAAGATTTTTTTTACAATACTTTTTATTTAACTACGATTTGAAATATTTTCCTTTTTAATTTTTATTTACTATATTCTTTTTAAGAACAGTTAAATGTATTAGAATCCATTATATTATGTAGGATTATTTTAACATTAAGTTTAAGTATGTATATGAGGTTACATTTTTTTTTTTTTTTTTTTTTTTTTTATATGACTATGACAGCAGAAATGGTTACTTAATTTCACTGATTCAGTAAACTTTTCTTTTTATATATAAACCTATTATTATAATATTTCATACTAGGACATGGGTCATTCAAAAAAAAAAGCTTACATGTTATGGTATTTCATATTAATTTTATTTTACTATAGGTGTTATTTTGGATTCTTTTTTAATGCGTGTAGTATTATTTAAAAAGAAATTTAGGTTAGAATTCATTCAATTTAACTACAATTTTAATTACAAATTCAAAATTACAACTTTAAAATTTTAAAAAATATTTTCATTGTTTAGTTTTAATAGACTATATTTATAACAGAAAAGAAAATTACTCATATTAAGTAAGATTATTTTCCATATCAAAGTATATGTAAATTTTTTTTTTTTTCCTTTTCTTCTTTTTAAATTTAAATATTATTTAAGTAATATTAATGGCACTTACTACAAAACTAGCTAAGTCATTTCTCAGATTTAGTAAACTTTATTTATTTATTAATTAATTAATTTATTTATTTCAAATATATGTAACCTAATTAATAAAGTTTCATATGTATGTATAAATAACATGTTAAATTCATTTTATTTTACTACAATTTTAATTTCAATTTTAAAATTTTAAAATTATAACTTTAAAATTTTAAAATATTTTCATTGTTAGTTTTAATTTAGACTATATTACTTTATAACAGAAGGATAATTACTCATAGTAAGTAAAAATTTTTTTTCCTATCAAAGTATATGTAAATTACAATTTTTAAACTTTTAATTTAGATATTATTTAAGTAATATTAATGGCCCAGACTACAAAACTATCTAAGTCATTTCTCAGAATTAGTAAACTTTATGTATTAATTCAAGTTTAACATGAGGTTACATTTTTTTTTTTTTTTTTTTTTTTTTGATATATATATATAAACCTAGTGATATAATGTTTCTCATGTAAGTACAAAGGACATGGGTCATTCAAAAGCTTACATCTTATGGCATTTCATATTAATTTTATTTTACTATATTTGCTTTTTGGGATTCTTTTTTTTAGTGCGTGTAGTATTATTTAAAAGAAACTTAGGTTAGAATTCATTCAATTTAACTTTAATTTTAGTTTCAATTTTAAAATTACAAACTTTAAACTTTTGAAATATTTTCATTGTTAGTTATATTAGACTATATTACTTTATAACAGAAGAATATTACTCATAGTAAGTAAAATTTTTTTCAATATCCAAGTATATGAAATTACAATTTTAAACCTTTATATTTTAAAATATTATTTTAGAATATTAATGGAACTTACTACAAAATTAGCCAATTTCTCAGATTTAGAAACTTTATTTATTACTTAATTTATTTATTTATTTTAAATATATGTAACCTAAGTAGTAAGTTTCATATGTATGTACCAAGAACAGGTTAGAATTCATTTTATTTAACTACAATTTTAATTACAATTTTAAATTATCTATAAGAACACCGGATTTTATATCTTACTGTTCTTTCTTTTTATTTATATATATATATATATATATATATACATACATACACACACACACACATGTATATATGTATGTAATGATGAAACTATGTGGAAAAATACGTGAAAATTAACGTGTTCTTTCAGGCTATCAGAATCTTTGACAAAAAGCGCTCAATAGATAACTAGAGCTATAATATTCAATAACTCAAGAAAAGTTCAAGTGACTCATATGATTGACCAACTTAAGAATTTCGCGTCAAAGCACTCATCGGGACCAGATGTTTGATAAATCAAACATGTTATAATTCATAATATTGATGAGATTTCATCATTCTAGAAATAAAGATTTCAAATTTCATCATTCTAAAAACTACCTTTCCACCAGTGATGATTCATGATAATGATGACATTTAGTCTTTCTAGAAATAAAGATCTGAAACTTCATCATTATAAAAGCGACCCTTCCGCCATAAGCAAAAGCAGTAATAAAAAGTACAACATAGACGTATCATCTTCGCTCCGTGAAAATCCAGAGTTGACGGTTTCAAAAGCTTCCCTTAACCATGAAATTCTCGGAACAATTCTAAACAACTAAACCCAAATTTTAAGGAAACAAAAAGAGAACTCTGAGAACATTTAACACACACAAAATCAATATTGTAATTAACATTACGAAAAGGAAAATACACATTCTTGTCATTAATTTCAACATATGTCACAAAGTCATATTATGTTAAGTTATCGTTGTACATTTTATTAATTTCATTTTCAGTATAATAAAAAGGAATCATCTATTAGCTACTAATACATATAACACGGGGTAACTTATATTAAGAACACAACATCAACCCCATTACAAATATTTATCAAAACATCTGGCCCTGAAGCTGTTGAGTCGGTTAACCAGATAAGACACTTGAACTTTTTTTGATTTATTGAAATATGTATATTTTTATAGATACAATTTATTTAAGTAAATGATATGGTTTTAATTAAACAGTGTAACGAGAGCGAGGGAAAGAAATGCCTATTTCCCCAAATACACCTCTCTCGTTATGGGCATTGTCATATCCATGATATAACAACACCGAAGTTCACGGACAAAGAATAATAAACATGCTTGGTTCTCGGAGAGATTTATAATGCTACGTCGTACACAAAATTAGATATAAACATATGCATGTACTTCACGCAGAGAAATTAAAACATATGTAACAATAAACACTGTGTAATAAAGGGGAACCTTATTAGTAATATTTCCCGAAGGGAAAACTGGAGTTACGGCGGTTTCTCTACGAACCAGGTTAGGCCATTTAATTTTTCCTTTAAGGCTTACCGCTGTGGGCAAGCGACGTCCTCCTTTTCTGGGGTCTACATCACAATTGCCTTCGTCATTCACCGGCCGTCGTGACAAAAGAAAGAAAATAGTCATTTGCAACGCAACAACATTGCATTTCTACAACATTCAGGTCGGTAAATGTATTTAATACTGTTTAATTAAAACAGAGCATTTACTTAAATAAATTGTATCTATATTAAATAATGTATAAACAGAAAATATAATGATTGTCACACTTAATCCATGATATATATATATATAAATACAACAGACACCGGCTTTATAATAGATTGTCAAACAATACATTTTAATTATTTTAAGGCAGATTATTTGAGAATTTCATTTACAGTTATGGAAGGAAACGCAAAAGAAATTTTCAATTAGTCTTAACTTAAGCATCAAAGTGGTCAGAATTATCTTTGTTGTACAATTTACGATAATATTTGTTCTTTCGTCAGAATATCTACTGTAGTTTGTTAACGGAATCCAATTCCAACAGAATCACAGATTTCAAGATAAACATAAACATGAATTGAGAGATTGGTCCTACACAAGTTCTTTGAACATTGGTATGCTTTTTTACATTGGTGAAATTTGCATTTATAGATTTGTAAAAATTCTAAATGGAACACAATCAGTTATATTTTCATAAAGGCAAATTTCTTATACTTTTGTTTTCTGATTATGTTCGGCATAAAAACTGGCATAAAACTGGCTCCAAAATGAACACCCTGTTAAACAAAAATTAAAATATACTGGCTCCAGAAAGCTTTAAATTTATTTGTTTAAGTACAGGAAATGAGAACTCAGTTATTAAGGTATATCAATTATATGTTTTGCTATTCATGCCAACAACGTTTCGACTGTTGTGCTTACCGGCCTTCCCCAGTGTCGGTCTTTATACTCAGTAAACCTGGTGCAATTTGAACCAGATCATTCAAGGAAAATAGTTCTCAGCTGATATATAGTATCAATCCTGCTCTATGGGCAGCGAATGTGGAACAATTTCTTAATAGATGAAAAGGAGACTTGAGACAACAGATGTGTTTCTCAAAATGAATGCTGAGAATACCACGGACCGAGCATGTAAGCAACACGGAAATTTTAAGGAAAATGGAAACAAAAAAGATACTTATACTTAGAATAATAAAGAGAAATTTGAAAATTCTGGGACACAATGAGGAAAGAAGGTTTGGAGAATTTGTTACTTACAGGCAAGAAAGACAAACGGGATTAGTAACCGGCCTAAATAGGGTGTCAGAACAGGGACTGGGGAAAGAAATATTGCTTACAGTTACAAATGATAGGAAATTATGGAGAGCCATAATCGCCTACGGCATATAAAATAAAGTGATTGAATAAGACTAGTGAGTTAATCCTCACTAACCTTATTCATCTTAGTCGTTTATCGGTTTCTCCCATCGAATGAGAATATGTAAATTTTTCAACACAAGTAAATTTAAGGGAACCATGTATGGTTAAATCAACGCTTTCATCCACTAGGCCCTGGTATTCGTGGAAAATCGTGTATTGAAATTATAGCGCATTAAACGGTAACTCAGGTGGTGGAATATTTTTAGTGTCATTTTTTAATTGGCTGAAAATCTTACAGCAGATACAAGATAGCGCAATAACGTCGTTTGGAAGAGAGTAAAGTTTTAGCTACAAAATACTATTTTTTCAGTGTTTCGTATCAGCGATGACACTTTTCAATGGCAGGAATGTGGCGCCGACGGTCAGAATAATGAAATAAGAATAGAAGTATTTAAATACAGTGTTTTCCAACATGAAAAGATTTTGGCAGATTTTATGCATATTAAATCAAATCAATAAATAATTATTTCAGCAATATTAATCATATATTAAACATATAAACAAATGTGTTTAGTGGCTCAACATTGGCTCTGCACGCAATTATGACTTCATTTGTTACTATTTTCAAGCCACGTCAGTCTTACGAGCTGACGTGAAATGGTAGCCATTTAAAAAATCAGTTTGACATAAAGAAGCAATAAGATTACGGAGAAAGACAGTAGATAAATAAATATGTTCAATAAAAATAAATTACTTGACAATAATTTTTCATAGACATGGAAGTCAGTTTCGTATATTTCTTTAGTTGGTAGGAATTGACAGGTTATACTCGGATTTGAAAGGTCATCTAAATAGGTGTGTGTAAGAAGTTATGTTTACGAATGAGTATATTTATTTATTTTTATAAAAACAATTTAAAATGAAATGAGAGTATTTTAAAGAAATTTAAGCGTACGGCGAAATCTTTTGAAACAGTATAAAGGAATAATTCTGAAAAGATTGTATACTAGCAAAATTACATATTAATAAATTAATTTATTTACAATGGTTGTCAGGATGACGTTGAAGAATTTGTAGTGTGTATGAAAATTTAACAAAAATAAATATTGGATCAAAGTCAGTCAGGTATTTAATCTAACCATGAGCCACTAAAGACCGACAGCAAGAGATGATGATGATGATGATGATGATGATGATGATGATGATGATGATAATGACAATAGCAGCAGTAAACTTACACAATGTGTCACGCCCAAGCAAGCTTCACACAAATAATTATCTGGCATATGAAGACTTGCCGTTTCTTCTTCTGTTATTGGGTCCTTAAACAATAAACTTCTTATTTTATCTTCCTGTGACATTTCACAGTACAATACAGAAGGCATGAACCCGAATACAAATAATTCTATGTACTTCCAACGACGAATCATTTTTCGTAAGAGAAATCAATTCGCAGTAAAAGAAGTGGATTCTTGTGCGTCCTAACTTTGAAATGATGTGTCTACAGTAGTTTGACATTTTATACAGACATTACAAATTCACATTTACGATGATCACATTAATTTAATCAATAAAATTCACAGTGAAAGGTTGTAGGTTATAAATTGGTCAGTGAAATAGAGGAATAAAACCAGAATCTCTAAACAATTTCGTGCATTGTATATATATATATATATATATATATATATATATATATATATATATCATACACACACACACACACGCACACACACACACACACACACACACACACACACACACACACACACACACACACACACACATATATGCATAAACAAAAAAATGTCTTGTTGAATCCAGATGTTGTATCCTCTTTTGTTCGAGAAATAAAAAAAAAATGCATCAAATAACTTTTATTCATTTCACTCAATATAATAAAATCATCAAGGCAGCCATGTTTAAACCAATGTAAGTTGGTAAAGGAATAAAAACCGAACCACGACACAAAAAATCACAACTTAAAAATTACCAGTTTCTTGTAACAATAAAATTGTGACAAACTTTCACGTAGACATGGGGAACAAATATTTTTATGCAATAACGCAATATGAAAAAAATAAAATTTTTGTTTTGTTTTTTAATGATTTTATTTCATAGGATATGCAAAAAACAAGAATCATAAAATTGCATTTTGCCTATAACTAATTTTAATTAATTGTATTAGGGAAATTAATGACAAGGGGGAAAATTTTTTTCGTGTAACGTCCTATGAAGTTTTGCGTCTTATGAAATCATAAAGGATGAAACATCCTTTAAGACTTCAAAGGACTACAGTGATATTTACGTTGATGTAACTACACATGCGCACGAAGAAGAGGGGACGCTGAAATTTTAAACTTTTAAATTATTTTAAAAAAAATATGTTTGGTTATATCGTCTAGCCAGTTTGATTTAATTTATGTTTACGGTGAGCAACTAATGCAGTTAGTGTGCTGTTTTTTAAAATATCCCTTTCGTATTCAAATAATCTTTTATTTAAATTCCTTGAGGTTTCGCCAATGTAGTCCTTATGGCAATTATTACACGTGATAGAGTAAATTTCTTCTTCAAGTTTCAGTTTATTATTTCGTTTTGTATTAAGTCTTTCTTTGTTTAATTATACCAAATTATAAGTTAAACTTAGATAAATTCTTTTCAACTGCAATTGGTAGATAAAATAATATATTTTGATTCGTTGGGAATGATACACTGATCTATTTTGAAATATTTGCGAGCCTTTTGTTTCTCTATGAATATAAAAATTATTCGGGTATTTCAATGTATTTCTCTTCATATAAACATTGAGGACTACAAGTTCTGAGTGCTCTTAACTAGAATTTGATAATTATTTCTGCTTTTATTTTGTGGTTATGGTGTGAATAGAAATTTATGAGATCATTTTTATTAGTTGAATTGCAATGATTTCTGGTATATAAAATTTATATATTATTTTTTCTTAATTTTTTGTATATAATTACTCTTAATGATCGAACGAAGCACGTCTATGAGGCGGTTGAGTGTTCTTTAAAATATTGCGGATTGGCATAGATGATAATCTTAGTATATGTCCAATCTTCGGAATGTGTTTTTTAAAATTATTTTTATAATAAGGCTTAGGATTATGTTGTGACCAAGTAAATGGTTAAAGAAATGACAAAACAAGTGTTGCAGATATATATTAAACAGTAAGTACAACAGAAGCGTATTACACGACTAGTGAGTGTGTGTTGGTTGACCAGTGTTCAATCTATTCGACTGTTCCCTTAAGACCTTCTCTCCTAATCTTATAGTAGGTGAAAGAGTCCAACATAGACTCTTTAGAAGGAGGACACCACAACCCCCCGCTTTCAGAGTCTTTTTTTATAATTATCACACAATATTTTTTATTCAACGAAAAAAAAATATCAGAAACAACCACTTTGAAAAAGCTATATACAGGAATTACGTTCACATTTTTTTTCAGTTTTACGATAAACATTTTACGTGTTAACAACAGTCTCTTTTTTTTTTATTATGGTCTCTATTCATTATTCCTAAATAATTAAAAATTGGATAAGTTTAATGGTAAATTATAATGTTAATAATTTCCAATAATCCAATGCGTATTGTGCTTTTCTGTTAATTCAAAATCCATAAGTGAGGAGATGTTTTTTTTTTTACGCATTCTTTTCCTTTTTCTGTAGATATGATATGAAATGAAAGATGTTCAATATCTTTTTCTTTTCGGGTTAATTTCTTACCGTAAATTTTCTTTTTCTTTTGAGCCTTCTGAGCTCTGTCACTGATTGCGGTATTGGAACCTTAAACGTGTCAAAGATTACGTCCATAGTGTCATCTATGGAATCCTTGTCGACTACGCTTTCATACCGTTTTTCTAATTTGGTTTATATGACGTTTGTATATAAGCTTCGGTCCCTGAACCATGTAAATCATGTTACCAATTTGTCTGTCTATTGTTCCTATCTCCCAGTGAGCCTTATTATTCCCGAATACACGAAAAAAACAAAAAAACAAAAACAAAAAAAAACAAAACAAAACAAAACAAACAAACAAAAAACCCCCAAAATAAACAAACCTTTTCACTGATCTTAAAGCGCTTTTTACCCACTTTATTCCTATTTCCCGCTTTCGTTTCACTCGGAAGGAATTTGTCAAATGCCGATTTTATTTTCCTAGCAAATATGATCTCCACTGGCGTCTTGACAGATGGAGCACTGCTATTAGGGGTTACACGATAGACCTGCAAAAACTATTGTATAGCCGTATCGGTAGGAATACCTCTCGCCTTCCTCAGTGCTCTTTTGAAAGTGTCCACAAAACGCTCTGCCTGTCCATTACTTCTTGGGTGATATGGCGCCGTGGTAACATGTTCGCAGTGGCGTAGCTAGAGTAAACGTCACCCGGGGCGGTCCGCTCAAATGTCACCCCAATGACCCCGATTCACCCTATGCTGAATGGTTAGCTGTAGCTAAATTTTCATACATGCTCTACTTTACCCTACTGACCGGTACGTTACTGTTTACATGTATGATCCAAGACAAAATCCAACACCACAAAATAATCAGTTCAAATCAAAAGATTTTTAAAATGCAACTGTTCACTTTCAGAACAACTAAATACAAAACACGGCAATACACAAAAGAATGACATTCGATACTATGGTCTTAGAATGAATGTTTTCTTGCTTTCATTGTGGCAAACTGGTCAATGACATCGTCAAAATCTGTTTGTCTTGTAAGCTCGTTTTCAATGGACAGCACAGCCAGATCCGACAGTCTCGACTGGCTCATGGTTGACGTAATTTTCTGTTGCTAATTTTCCGGTGTCCAATTTTCCGTCGCATCATTTTCTGGGTATCATTTAATTATCAATGATATTTGAAAGTATTTTTCTTGACAAAAATGTTCTATTTAATTTTTAAGCATTTTTCGGAACATTGTAAATTAACTGCATTCTTTTAAAAAACCACCTAGAGAATTTATGCAAAAGTTTTTTTTTCTATATTTCTGAGATGAGAGTATTATTTACAGTATTTACATTAGTCGGATTATTGTCCTCATCTTTGTCGCCATATTTGTCACAACGTTTCGGCCGTTGTACGCCCCCGGCCGGTGGTTCAGTCTACACCAGTGATCGAAATAAAGGGTTCAGTTCGAAATTCCAACCACCTGAAGAAGGCCGGAGCGTACAACGGCCGAAACGTTGTGACAAATATGGCGACAAAGATGAGGACAATAGTCCGACTAATGTAAATACTGTTTATTTTTTTGTTTTTCTTTATACAAGTAAAATAAATTTACATCGTATTTTGATGTTATTATGATTTTAGTTTTAGTAATAATTTAAAAACAATAAATATTTATCATTAGAACCAATAATGGAAAATTAAGTTAATTTCGCTTTGTTGTTATTAATGATGCAGAGTTAAAACACCATATCATGCGATAAAATGTTACAACAATGTCTCTTGTTAGTAACCAAGATTGTAGCAAGTGAAACATGAAAGCTGAAAACATTGCTATTTTTCCTACTCACAAATTTCCCGACAATTTATTAGAAAATTTCTGACGCGGGGACAAAACTGGGGGGTCATAAATTATTTCTGGGGGTGGGGTCATATGCCCGCCTGCGAAATCCTGTGTCTCCACCACTGTTTTCAGACTATTTTTGGCACCTTAGCCTGGTTGAAAAATTTTGTTGGAGGTGACATTGTGTCACCCCTCCTGTGCTGGCACTACGATACAGTCAACAACTCCGAAACGGGGAAATAGCTCGTGTAAAAACTTTACTGTCACTTCCGCGGTCGGCTTGCATTTCAATACTTCTGGCCACTTGGAATGACTGTCAACTACTACGAGGTAGTAAAAACCATCAAGTAGGCCAGCAAAATGAATGGGTATCCGCCACCACGGACGGTCAGTTTTAGGCCAGGGATTAAATTTTATCGGGTGTGCTTTAGCAGCCAAAGCACATCCTTTGCACGATCTTACAGTGTTTTCAATATCCCTGTCCATGTTGATCCAGTAGACATAACTTATAATCAGACTCTTCATCCTTGAAGTTCCCGGATGGCCAACATGGAATTCCTTTAGAGTTCTATTCTGAAGTGTAGATGGGATTACTACTCTGCATCTGTACATTAGTAGAGTGAGTAAAATTCTGAGATATTCTGGTCTTTACTATTTAGTTTGTCCTTTACTTCCTTTATGAACTCATCATCGGACGCTTTGTCTATTATTTCATTGATTGTAATTGGAAGCACTCTGGCAGTATTGCACAAGGTACTTTTTATTTCGACCTCTGTTCTTATGGCAGCAATAACTGTGTGTTCCAGGGGTTCAGCATGTTTAGGTATAAATCT